AAAACAGGACTAAAACAAGGACTAAAACAGGACTAAAACCAGGACTAAAACAGGACTAAATTAGGACTAAATCCAGGAATAAAGCAAGACTAAACCAGAACCAATACCAGGACTAAACCAGGTCTAAACCAGGACTAAAACAGGACTAAAACCAGGACTAAAACAGGAATAAAACCAGGACTAAAACAGGACTAAATTAGGACTAAAACAGGACTAAAACCAGGACTAAAACAGGACTAAATTAGGACTAAAACAGGACTAAAACAGGACTAAAACCAGGACTAAAACAGGACTAAAACCAGGACTAAAACAGGACTAAATTAGGACTAAATCCAGGAATAAAGCAAGACTAAACCAGAACCAATACCAGGACTAAACCAGGTCTAAACCAGGACTAAACAGGACTAAAACCAGGACTAAAACAGGACTAAAACCAGGACTAAAACAGGACTAAATTAGGACTAAACAGGACTAAAACCAGGACTAAAACAGGACTAAATTAGGACTAAAACAGGACTAAAAACAGGACTAAATTAGGACTAAAACAGGACTAAAACCAGGACTAAAACAGGACTAAATTAGGACTAAATCCAGGAATAAAGCAAGACTAAACCAGAACCAATACCAGGACTAAACCAGGTCTAAACCAGGACTAAAACAGGACTAAAACCAGGACTAAAACAGGACTAAATTAGGACTAAAACAGGACTAAAACCAGGACTAAACAGGACTAAAAGGACTAAAACCAGGACTAAAACAGGACTAAAATCAGGACTAAAACAGGACTAAAACCAGGACTAAAACAGGACTAAATTAGGACTAAATCCAGGAATAAAGCAAGACTAAACCAGAACCAATACCAGGACTAAACCAGGTCTAAAACCAGAACCGATACCAGGACTAAACAATATGACACTAACAGTAGGTGGACATACTTAAAGGCAGCAGTGTCTCATATAAAATATATTTTTTTATCAATAATATTTTTAATACGGTTAAGGAAAGACTGGGCTTTTTATTTTCTTTTTAACAGACAAAACATTTTATGTTCAGATCCTCGTCTTTTCTTCTCTACAGTAAAACAAAAGTCTGTTCATGGAGACTTGGGCTCAACAGACAATTTGAAGAAAACAAACATGAATTTTCAGGATGTTGTTTCTACATTCATGTAGTTTTAAAAAACACGACAATATCAAGTAATCCAAAGTATTCAGATTACGTTACTCACCATAAATAATTTAATGGATTACGTTACAAACTACATTTTGGACTATGTAATCTGTAATCTGTAGGGGATTACATTTTAAAAGTCACCTTCACAACACTGCCTGTAGAATTCCATGGAAATATAAAGTTAAAACTGTACTCCAGAACATCCTCCATGCAGCCAGGTCAGGTTTGTGGAGATGCAAGCCGACTCACAGTGTGGACTCATGTATCAGGTTGTTTTTTCCCGATCATATAGCCCAAAATGTGAAAAAAAGTAAAATACTGCCCTGTAATCCATTTATTCTAACAATGTAAAGGTAATCCAACTACCACTCACTGTAACCGAATACAGTTACTCATCATTTGTACTCTGATTACGTAACTCTGGTACATGTAATCTGTTACTCCCCAACACTGAATATAAATGATCACAAGACCAAATGAACCTCTTTGGACTCGTGTGGACTCGTGACACGCTTGTATTTGAGTCTGTTTTCGGGAAAAGTTCCATACTGTGGCTTTAGAACGAGACCAGGTTTGTTCTGATCTGACTGTGGCGACGTTCTTGACTCTGGAGCTGTAGAGGAAATGTGTCTGAGGTTATTGTTTTACGGGGCTGAGAGTTTAAAGAGTGCGAGTTAATATTTGCCTCCTCTCTTCCTCTGTTTGTCCACTATCTCCGTCCGTCTAGACTGGACCGAAACACTCCAGACTTATCGAGCTTTTTACTCAGTTTATCAAATTCTTTTCAATATCGGTCTGGTCTGTGAATCTAATAATTTGCCCTTAAAAGCTGCATTGTATTACTTTTGTGCAGGAGGATCCGTCACGTACTTTTCTCCATGTTATAACGTTGTTCCCTCATCAAAAAAAACAAACACGTGTGAAGAGGTTTTAGATGTCGACCCTGGATCCAGTGCCCGAGTCTGTGTCCCGGTCTGTGTTTATCCTATGACTTAATCACACAAGTGCTGACCTCCTCCTCGTCCTCGCGGCTCAGGATCACATCAGACTCCCCCTCCTCGGTTCCAGGACCTGGCTGTCACTTGTCATTTTATTTAGAAATCAAAAATGGTTTGGAGGGACGTAGTCAGGACTAGGGTGACCGTATTTCCTTTTGTCAAAACCAGGACACCGTACGGGGGGGAGGGGTTTCGTCATCGACATTGAGCGACTCTCACCTGGCAAAACTTTGTCATGTTTTTCGGTGTCCTGGTGCAATCCGTGTATCATTCGTTTTTCAATATAAAACCAAAATGAAAAAGCGGATAACGATTTATTTTTTCAGTTTTCGATTTTTTGTTTAAATGAAAAATGGAAAAAACGGATAACGGCCGTTTTCCGTTTACGTGACTTATGTGACTGCGATGCCGAACTTTTGCACCGCGTACAGACTGAACCAGGACTGATCCAGGTCTGGGACCAGAGCCAGAGCGGGACCAGGGCGGATCCTGAGCTTTGACTCCGAGCCTCCGCGGGGTCTGAGCCTCAGCTCCGGCCCTGCCTGCCGTGGGCTCTGAGCCTCCGGTCTGGTCCCGGCCTGGTCCCAGTCTCAGTTCCGGTCTCAGTCCCGGTCTGGTCCCGGTCTCAGTCCCGGTCTGGTCCCGGTCTGGTCCCGGTCTGGTCCCGGTCTCCAGTCCGGTCTGGTCCCGGTCTGGTCCCGGTGGTCTCAGTCTCCCGGTCTCTGGTCCCGTCTCAGTCCCGGGTCTCAGGTCTGGTCCCTGGTCGGTCTCAGTCCCGGTCTCTCGTCTCTCTGGTCCCCGGTCAGTCCGGTCCCGTCTCGTCCGGTCTGGTCCCGGTCCCTGGTCCCGGTCTGGTCCCGTCTCTCGGTCCCGGTCAGTCTGGTCTCGTCTCAGTCCGGTCTGGTCCCGTCTGGTCCCGGTCTCAGTCCCGGTCTGGTCCCGTCTCAGTCCCGGTCTGGTCCCCCTCTGGTCCCGGTCCAGTGGTCGTCCAGTCCTGGTCCCGGTCGGTCCCGGTCTCAGTCCCGGTCCCGGTCAGTCTCAGTCCCGGTCTGGTCCCGGTCTCAGTCCCGGTCTCTCAGTCCCGGTCTCGTCCCGTCTCGTCCCCGGTCTCGGTCCGTCCGGTCCCGGTCTGGTCCCGGTCTCAGTCCCGGTCTGGTCCCGGACCTGGATCAGTCCTGGTTCAGTCCGTATGCAGTGTAAAAGTTCGGCATCGCAGTCACGGACGGGAAAAGGTCATTATCCTTTTTTTTTTTCCATTTTTCATTTTAACACAAAATCGAAAACTGAAAAAACTAATCATTATCTGTTTTTTCATTTTGGTTTTGGAGACAAATAATGAAGAAAACTGTTGTTTTTTCATTTAGTTATTTTTGGTTTTATATTGAAAAACGAATGAATGAACGACACACAGATTTGGTGCTTTGAGGTCCCTGACACACTGGACACTGTACACATGGACTCACACTTGTCTCGACCGGAACGGAAAACGGGGAATTTCTTGTACAAAGTCATCGTTAAATACACATTTACGTTTCGACATGTTGCAGACTGACCGACTGTTTGTGTCTCGCTCCTTCTGAGTCACAGACGCTACGAGAGACGATCAGTTTAATGGCCCAATGAAAGAAAATGAAAACCCGGACATTTACATCACTTTATAAAAAACAAAAACAAAAACAAAAAATTTAAATCTGACATGTCTGGGGAAAAATGGACGTTTGGTGACCCTAGTCAAGACGGCCGCCCTAACTATAAAGCGCTGCGGGAAACACTGTGAGGTTGTATAGAGGATTTTCCAAGGAACGAGAAATCCAGCGACTGTCCTTTTTAAAATGTTGCGCATGGGTGAAACCACCTCCCCTCCCCTACAGCTCCTACGTAGAAACACCTCCTCCCTCCTCCTCCTTACGCCACAAACAGGTTTGTTTCTAGAAAACAAGTCCTCATCGCTGCAAATGACTTGTAAACAACTCACTACAGTGTTGGTTAGACAAGACGGAGAAGTGAGGAGCGGGGGGAAGAGCGAAACAGGGAGCAGGGAGAGAGGAGAGGGGAGCGGAGATTCCGTGCGAATGAACTAGCTACAACACGCAGCGGCAAGTGGACTCTTTCTTTGCATTGAAAATTACGTTTTCAGACATAGGATATCGCTTTCGTGTCCTGAAAAACGTTTGTGTCGCTCTTGGAAATAAAGTACGTTTTCATAATAAGCAGAAGTTTCCTGTCCAGGAGTAATTTGTGGACCAGTGCGTCAGTCTTTAGACCCTTCGTCTGCTTCAGTCGCGCCATCGCTGGAATGAATCTCCAAGAATCACCTTAGTTTGGCTTCGCTGCTTTTCCCCTTGTCTTCTTCTTTCATCGACCTCAAAAACTGACTTTCTTTTGCGGCGAACTGCTCCTGGATTCTTGTCGCCATTGCAACAAACTTTGTGCGAACTGCGAGGAAGATATAGGTAAAAAAAAGCTGCTAAGAACTGTTGCGTTGGTGGAGTAAACAGCGTCTGTGCGTCTTGCGTCTGTGGACTGCGTGACAGTCGTACGTAAACCACGTACCGGCGGCGCAGGCAAGTCAGTTACACTAGAAACGTAGGGAGTTTGATTGACAGCCTGTCAGCTCACAGATAACGAGGCAGTGTCGTTATCTATTGGCAAATGTTTAGCCCCACCACGTCCAGAGTTGATGAATTTTTATTCTCTTTTTTTTTTTGGTCATCATAATTACAAGGCGACTGCATCTATAATCTATCACTGACAATTTGAAACAAAAAAAATCCTCCATACAACCTTTAAATGTCCGACCTGATCTGACTTGAGTCTCTTGTGTTGCAGGTGTTTAATGCTCGTACTGCAGAACTGGTCAGTCACCACCAGGTGGAGATCACACAGAGTTTCCCCAAAGAAGGGTGAGTCTGGACACTACGATACTACACTGAAATACACACGAAGCATCCGCTGTAGAAGAAGGTTGCAGAGTGAACTGTAGTATCCCCAGAACTAAAGACAGGAGACATGAGGCTGGACTTCTAACTCAAGTTTATTTACATCAGTACAGACGCAGCACAGAGACATGAACCGTCAGGACGCTGTCAGGGCTGTGAACTTATCAGCTTTCGGTAAACTTTGATTTCAAAAAAGGACTTGCATGTGAATCGTGTATCAGTCCATTTACCCGCTGAAATGCTCTAGAATGGAGGGAATTTATTTATTTATTTATTTATTTTATTTGAGACGGGGGCAGCGCACTATTTTTGCATTAACCTTAACAGGAGAGATGCATTGAACATCAGGTTGCAGCATCAGTGCTAATTTCCACCTGTCGTCCGTGGGCAGATTCATTGATTGATTGTATTTTAACTGACCTTGACTATCAACTGTTCTTGGAGACGTATGTAGCATGTTTTGGGTTTGTGTAAAATTTGTAAAAAAATAAAAATGAAAAAAAAAAAGTTAGAGGGATAATATTCAACCCACACTCTATTTTTGACCCATATTCACGTGTTAATACCAACTGTAATGTAAATACAGACACTTTGTTTCTTGTGTGTGTGTTTTTGTTTGTTTTGTTTTATAAAATTGACACTATTCAGGCAAAAAAACAAAACCAAACATAATATATAAAAGTAAGAAACAGTTGCAATAATTCTGAGCACAGCGGTGGTTCGAGTTCGTGCCGCAGATGGACAGTAAGATTGTCACATTTTTCCCTCTGCCCCAGTTTACAGCCCCGGTGAGCAGATCTTTGCAGGGTTCCCACGATCATGGAAATCCTGGAAAAAATTATGAAAACTGAAATTGTAATTTTCCCGGTCTGGAAAAGTCATGGAATTTTAGTATCTCTTTCACGCAACTCCAGCGTTCCGTTAAGTTCTCATGAGGCTATTATTATTATTATTTCTGAACGTCTGCGTCATTTTGGTTAAAAGAGACGACAATAAATGCGCTGACAGGATTTCTGAATGTTTAAACAGAATTATCCCAAACCATAAGGTGAGTGGAAACAGTTAACATTTCATATTTAGCCCTAAAAGTCTGATCAGTTCTTTAGATTTAGATTTATTGTCATTGTACAAAATACAACAAAACGTCAACAGACCAAAACTGTAGCAGTAAATATGAATAAATATAGACACATTCTCACATCCACAACAATAAAAACATTAGATAAATAAATAGATTATAGCACCGAGTCCCTTCAGGCCTTTTCTCTTTGCCTCTGCTTCTGGAGCTCGTTCACTGCTCGTGGGTAGAAGTTGTCCTCTTTGTGGTCCAGGTCAGGTCCCAGAGTGTGTGAGGTCCTGCAGAAGACTTGTTAGAATGTTTGTTATCTCATCAAAAACAGACCTGGAGTTGTGTTTTGTCTCATTCACACATGTTTGAGTAACTCTTTATTATTAGTCTACATCTCCACATCTCAAAATGCTCCGTTTTCAAGCTCCTTTTACCTTTAGTTCAGTAGAGATTGATGTTTCCAGGGCTGAAATGATCCAAAATATTCTAGTGAAGGTGTGTGGTTTAATTTGGCATTTAGATTTTGCACATGTCTTTTTTGTTCTACACATGTAGATGCTGTAAAGGCCTGGAAAATTCACTTGAGGTCATGAAAAAGTTATGGAAACGTTTTGAAATTTTGTCAGTGAAGTGGGGTTAGAGAAGTGAGAAACCAGGATGGTCTTAGAAAGCTGCTTCCACGGGTTCCTCATCCTCAGAGCTTTAGATCCTGATTCCGTCCCTCGCTCTGTGTTCCAGGTGGGTGGAGGCCGACCCAAAGGAGATCATGCAGTCCGTGTACCAGGTGATGGAGAGAACCTGCGAGAAACTCCACCAGCTCAGAGTGGACATCTCCAGAATCAAAGGTCTGCGCATCAACAGACTCCACCGTCTTTCCTGCGATCTTTAAGACTGTTTACAGAAGTTATTACAAAAGCCCGACCTCCTGACTCGGTGTTTCTGCTCCACAGCCATCGGAGTGACCAACCAGAGAGAGACCACCCTGGTGTGGGACAAAGAGACCGGAGAGCCCCTCTACAACGCCATCGGTAACAGACTCACAGCACTGTCTTACTAACCCCCGGTGGACACTGACTGCAGGTGTGGGGAGGTTCAGATGTGGTTCAGGTTCGAGGTGGTTCAGGTGCTGTTCAGTGAGGTTCAGGTGTGGTGCGGTTCAGGTGCAGGAAAGTTCAGGTTTGGGGCGGTTCAGGTGCGGTACAGAAGCGGGGCAGTTCAGGTTCTGTGTGGTTCAGGCTCAAGGCAGTTCAGGGGCGGTTCAGGTTTGATGTGCTTCATATGCAGGGCGGTTCAGGTGCGGGGAAGTTCAGGTGTGGCGCAGTTCAGGTGCGGTTCAGAGAGGTTCAGGCCTTTGGAAACCACTTTCTCATGCATTTGGAAACCACTTTCTCCAGCTTTTAGAAACCACTTTTTTATTCTTTTAGAAAACACTTTCTCGCGCTTTTGGAAACCACTTTTTTGCGCCTTTGGAAACCACTTTCTTGTGCCTTTTTAAGCCACTTTCTCGTGCTTATGGAAAACACTTTTTTGTGCCTTTGGAAACCATTGTTTGTGCTTTTGGATCCCACTTTCTCACGCCTTTAGAGACCACTGTCTCGTGCTTTTAGAAACCACTTTGTCACGCTTTTGGATACTGTGGCTGTCTATAATGGGTAAGTAAAGTGTGCAGGGATATTTTATTCTGAAAATTCATCCGATCTGTCATTTCTGCTCGTGTGATTTCCTGTTTTGCTCATATGATTTTGTCAGCTTGATGTCAAAAACCGCCACGATGTCCAGCAAAGATAGACTTTCTTGCGGATTTTTCTCCAACCCGCACGGAGGTCAGTGTGGCAGGGTGCTACTGATTTTAACGACCGGGATCCTCACATGTCCCGAACCGCACTGTACCTGCAGTCAGTGTACACCAGGCGCCGGGGGGCTGTATTCTGCTAAATTAAGAGTCATCACCTTTGAATGTAACTTCACGAACTCTTACCTGCAGATTTAGGAAGTCTCCCTCTTCACTGCAGAAAAACTGTGGGGTAGAAAGATTTATCAGTTGTTTGTTTTTCCAAAATGTGCTAAAAAGAAAGACGGGGAAATACAGATAAATTTGGCTGATTTATGAAGATGACCAGAGCAAAGTTTAAAGGTTGTATGGAGGATTTTTTTTGTTTCAGATTGTCAGTGATAGATTATAGATGCAGTAGCCTTGTAATTATGATGACCAAAAAAAAGAGAATAAAAATTCATCAACTCTGGACGTGGTGGGGCTAAACATTTGCCAATAGATAACGACACTGCCTCGTTATCTGTGAGCTGACAGGCTGTCAATCAAACTCCCTACGTTTCTAGTGTAACTGACTTGCCTGCGCCGCCGGTACGTGGTTTACGTACGACTGTCACGCAGTCCACAGACGCAAGACGACGCTGTTTACTCCACCAACGCAACAGTTCTTAGCGGCTTTTTTGACCTATACCTATATCTTCCTCGCAGTTCGCAAAGTTTGTTGATGGCGACAAGAATCCAGGAGCAGTTCGCCGCAAAAGAAAGTCCGTTTTTGAGGTCGCTGAAAGAAGAAGACAAGGGGAAAAGCAGCGAAGCCAAACTAAGGTGATTCTTGGAGATTCATTCGAAGACTGAAGCAGCGACTGAGTCTAAAGACTGAACCACTGGTCCACAAATTACTCCTGGACAGGAAACTTCTGAAAACGTACTTTATTTCCAAGAGTTAGTCAAACGTTTTTCAGGACACGAATGTGATATCCTATGTCTGAAAATGTAATTTTCAAGGCAAAGAAAGAGTCCGCTTGCTGCTGCGTGTTGTAGCTAGTTCATTCGCACGGAATCTCCGCACTCTTCTCTGCACCCCTTTCCTGCTCCTCTCCCCGCTGCCCGATCCGCTCTTCCCCCTGCTCCTCACTTCTTCTCCGTGCACGAAATGTCTTGGAAGATCCTCTATACAACCTTTAAGAAAATGTAGCTTGTTGTGACTGCCTCCAGGCTCCACTCAGACTCAGCTGTTGCTTCAAGTTTAATCTTCAGTTTTCGTCACGCTCACGAGCTGATATCTGTGTGTGTATTTTGTGTGTGTTGTGTGTGTTTTGTGTGTGTGCAGTGTGGTTGGACCTGCGAACTCAGTCCACGGTGGAGAGACTCATCAGCAAAGCTCCAGGACGCAACAAGAACCATCTGAAGGTGAGTCTGACACTACACAAAGTCACACGATCTTTTACGTTCTGTAAGATCTAGAAGTGTTTTTATGAGGCAGAATTTTGTCAGCGTTGGGGAGAAGCTGCAAAGATCCCAATAAAAATGTACATTACTGTGTTTTTATCTACAAATGACCAGGGGCGTAGTGGGCGTGGGGGTTCGCTGTCCACCCACTTCTTTCGACGTGAGACGTAAATAAATAAAGTTCTATAAAAAGACTGTTTTTCTGTTACTGTATGTTTGATGCCACAGAAAAACTGCACTGATGTATGTGGAGCCCGTGGCCTGTACCCACCCATGATAAAGTGCACCGGGTCAGCATTATTGTTCATTTTCTTCTGTATACGCTAAATCAACAAGTTAATGTTGTGAGTTGGGCAGAGGCGTCGTTCCGGGGTGGCAGTTGTACTTGGTAATCAACACTGAATCTCTCTGAATGGAAAATGCTGAAATAAAGTGGCCTGTTCTCGGACCCGTCCATCTTTTGCGCTTCTTTCTAGGACACGCACTGAGCCTTCCGAAAACCCCACACTGGAAACGGTGAAAACAAACTGTACAGGCTCATGATGTCTGCAGGACTGTTCTATAGTGACCTGAACCAGGACTAAACCAGGACTAAACCAGGACTGAGTGTCAGGACGGGCCCGGAGGTGCACCTGTGTCTCTCTCTTTCTCTCAAGTTCAAGATTAGACCTGTTTTAGTCCTGGTTTAGACCTTGTTTAGACGTGGTTCAGTCCTGGTTTAATCCTTCTGTTTTCGGCCTGTTTTTGTCCTGGTTTAGTTCTGGTTCAGTCCTGGTTTAGTCCTGGTTTAGTCCTGGTTTAGTCCTGGTTTAGTCCTGGTTTAGACCTGGTTTAGACCTGGTTCAGTCCTGGTTTAATCCTTCTGTTTTCGTTCTGTTTTCGATCTGTTTTTGTTCTGGTTCAGTCCTGGTTTAGTCCTGGTTTAGTCCTGGTTTAGACCTGGTTTAGACCTGTTTTAGACCTGTTTTAGACCTGGTTTAGTCCTGGTTTCAGTCCTGGTTTTAATCCTTCTGTTTTCCTTCTGTTTTCGGCCTGTTTTAGTCCTGGTTTTAGTTCTGGTTAGTCCTGGTTTAGTCCTGGTTTAGTCCTGGTTCAGTCCTGGTTTAGTCCTGGTTTAGACCTGGTTCAGTCCTGGTTTAATCCTTCTGTTTTTGTTCTGTTTTCGGCCTGTTTTAGTCCTGGTTTTAGTTTCTGGTTCAGTCCTGGTTCAGTCCTGGTTCCTGGTTCAGTCCTGGTTCAGTCCTGGTTCAGTCCTGGTTCAGTCCTGGTTCAGTCCTGGTTCAGTCCTGGTTCAGTCCTGGTTCAGTGATGGGAACATGTGTATAATAGTGTACATTTATTTTTATTTTTATCATATCAGAAAGTCCCATTGAAATTGCGTCTCATTTTCAGGGAGTCTATCTTAAATAGTTTGAGGATCAAGAGTTCACATGTCGCATCTAGGATTTCATGACAAAACCAGGACATGATGCAGTTTGAATGTGCCCACACCCTGCACCTCAGGCCGTCTCCCTCACCGCGAGAACCAGGTCACGAGCATCTTTTGAGTCCAAGTCTGTCGTAGTTCTGTTGTTGTTTTACTATACGGGCAGTGTTGGGAAGTTTACTTTTAAAATGTATTCCCCTACAGATTACAGATTACAGTAGAGCCAAGTGACAGTGGTACAGGAGGAACAGGAGCAGCAGATCCTCACACACAAGACTAGAACCTCTCCACACTTCACCAAAAACATTTTAATATAGAAATCACACCGGAGAATAAGTCACAGGAAACAGGAAAAAAACTCGTTGACCCAACTTTTTTGTATTCCGCTGTGTCCACATGTGTTAGTTGATGAATTGATTTTTAGAGTAACTATTGTATTTGTCAGCATCACCTCCAGTCTCTCTCTCTAAAACCTTCAAATCAGGCAAGAAATCTCGGGGTAATAATGGACTCAGACTTGAACTTTAACAGCCACATCAAATCAAAAACATCTGCAGCCTTTTACCATCTAAAAAAAAAAACAGCAAAAATCAAAGGTTTACTGTCTAAATCAGAGTTGGAGAAACTTATCCATGCGTTTGTCTCCAGTAGGTTAGATACTGTAATGTTCTGCTCACTGGTCTCTCCAAACGAGCTGTGAGACGCTGCAGAACATCCAGAACATCCAGAACATCCAGAACATCCAGAACATCCAGAACGCTGCAGCTCGGGTCCTGACTCGAACTAGGAAGTACGAGCACATGTGTCCTGGTCTCAGGTCTCTGCTCTGGCTCCTGTGGCTCAGAGACTTTAAAGCAGCTCTGTTTGTACAAGTGTCTCCATGGCCGAGCACCAAAGTCCATCTGTGACATGTTAGTTTCATATGAACATCTCACACTCTGAGGAGCTCAGGGACCAACTCCTGCTGGTGCCCAGAGTCACGACTAAACAAGGGGAGTCAGAGTTTCAGGTTCATGCAGCTAAAACCTGGAACAGTCTGAACATGTGAGACAGACTCTTCTGTGATGCTGTTTAAAATCCAGACTCAAAACATTTCTGTTTAACTGTGCAAATAACTGAAAGGTTTTTCATTCTGCACTCTTCTCTCCAATTTATGTCTCTCTTTTTTAATTTTAATCTTCATGATTATTTATGTTTTGATTTGTTTTTATTATGATTTTAATGAATTTCTTATTCTGTAAAGCACTTTGAATTACTTTGTGTACGAATTGTGCTGTACAAATAAACTTGCCTTGTATTTGGAAGAGAACGCACAATGAACTTTAAAATAACTCTTTCAATCTTTACCATTTTCTTTTTTTTCCCCATATTAGTTTGCCATTTTTTGCATAATTGTTCTTTAAAGTCTGAGGCTTCTTTAATGAACTGAAGTGTGTTTTTATCTCGGAAAGTCAGGATTTTGATGTCAACAATAACCAATACCTGATAACTTTCGAAAAAACAAAACACTATACTTACTTACGAGCAATAATGTGAATGTTTTGGCTTCTATGATCCGTCGGTGTTTGCAGAGTCTCACCGGTGTTTTTGTCCCCGCAGCATAAGACGGGACTTCCCATCAGCACGTACTTCAGCGCGGTCAAACTGCGCTGGCTCCTGGACAACGTGGACGAGGTGAAGCAGGCGGTGGTCAGCGGCAGAGCCATGTTCGGAACGGTCGACTCCTGGATCATCTGGGTACGTCACACCGAACAACGGACCTCGACTATGTCCCATTTTAGACAATAACCTGAATCACTGTTGCTGTATTGTCGTAAGAAAGTTGAACCTGAACTTTTGCATTACACAAAATTGACTCGTGAGCATTTAGCCGCTTTATAATGTTTTCGCCTCCTCAAAAACAGGTCCAGAGTTGTGTTTTCTCTTTATTATTGTCCAAAGGATTCTCGAGACGCTGTGAGTGTTTTCAGTTTGAAAGAAGAACTCTTATTTTACCTGAATGTTCTTTAGTGTGGCATTATAGGCTTCTTATCTCCATGGACTTAGGGCCATGTTCTAAGCCAAGATCTGACCTGTAACTTGGAGCTTTAGCAGTGCCAGACTGTGGAAGTTTCCTGGTAAAGAAATAACAGATCTCCATGGAAACTAGCAGGCGGTAAATAAAGTTAGAGTTCATTTTATTTGAACATTTGTTTTAAAAAAAAAGGTATGAAGGCACAACAGATAATCTCCATAATCTCAGAACATGTACATTTAACTAAGAAAGACACAAACAAAATAAAGAGCAAAAACAAAATTCACATGTTTTTGTCAGATGAAGAAAAGAGGTAAAAAGGTAGAGCGCTTCACTGGGTCGTAAAAGAGTTAAAAAATAGCAGCAAATGGGTTAAAACATTAGTCTTTAAACAGAAAGTTGCCCTTGTTGGAAAATGTAAACGTGGACGAGGTACAAACCCGAGGCACTTCGACTGAATATATTAAAAGTCTTTTATTGCATGAAGTGACGCCAATGGGTTTCGACCAGCGAGATGTTCTTCGTCAGAGCAAAGTCACGCATGTTGTTGCCTGGAATTGCCAATTTCTACTGAACAAAAGGTAAAAGGAGCTGTTAACATGAGAACTATTGCTACGTTCAGACTGCAGGGCTTAACGCTCAATTCAGATTTTTTTGTGAAATCCGATGTTTTTTCGAGGTCGTTCACATTTCCAGTTAAATGTGACTTGTATGTGTCTCCAGTGTGAACATTAAACGGCCCAAAAGTGTCCCACATGTGACACTGGAGACACGACGACGTCAACCGCAGCGAGCGTCTCTGTGTTTACAGAAGTTGTCCAAACATGGACGCAGCATCGAGCACCTGGAGATTTTAAAGTTCCTCTCGTACCGGAGCCAGAACATGAACAACTTACTTGTTTTAAGGAGGAGATTGAGAAGGAGAAGGACGAGGTTTTTGGTCGTGGTGTTTTGTGGTGAGTGGAGATGTGCTTCACTTCAGTCACATGGAGTTCATTAACAATTTTCGTATGAAGAGAAGAACGTTTGTGTACATTTGTGTCTTGTTGATAACGTGTAGGTGGATGAATGCACTTTGACCGTTCAGACTGAAGTCACATGTCAAAAGATCAGATATGTATCAGTTTCAGGAGCACATATCCAAGTGTCCTGGGTCAGATTTGAAAAAATCGAATCTGTGTGGTTCAGACTGTCATTACAAAATCAGATCCAGGAACATAGGGGCCAAAAAATCAGATTTGGATCACTTCAGGCTGCAGTCTGAACGTAGCCTATTGTGATGTAGACAGACTGATAATAAAGTTTTACTCAAACATGTGTGAATGAAACAAAACACAACTCCAGGTCTGTTTTTGAGGAGGTAACACCATTCTAACAGGGCCAAAAGAGTCACAAGAGTCAGTTTCGCCTAATATAAGACCTTTAATCATATGTATCGTATTTTTCAGACTATAAGACGCACTTAAAATCCTTTAATTTTCTCAAAAATCAACAGTGCAACTTATGTATTAATTCTGCTTGTGTTACTGACCTCGAACCGATTTTATACATGTCACTCAAAAATCTGTCAAAATGTTTTAGTATGATTTTGGAAAGCTACTAGAGCCGCACCGCTTGATGGATTGTCGGAGCGTTGCGGGGTAATCAGGAGCCTCACGTGATTAAAATCTCTGAAAGTTTTCACATGAACAGACTCACCATCAGCAGCACATCCTCTGTCACAGAAAGAACACTCATATTCCACTGAGTCGTGTCGTTTAGTTCGACACAGGCTGAACCGCATCAGTGAAACAAGGAGCGAACAGTTTTTTTCAGAGTTTATAGTTTATGCAAATGAGTCATGTGGTTTTCAGTTTAGTTTCTGTAAAACGTAAACAAATGTGCTCAAAGCTGCATTAAACACATTATTACTCAATATATATTTGAATCATTCTCGTAGGAAATAAAACAAACTTAAATGATCCACACACATTCACCAAGACAGAGAGACAACGCCGGGCGAATTACACCACGATCTGCCGCTGGATCGTGGACGCCTGGACTAAGGATCAGACTCAAGTGTCGTCCGTTTGTTTCTCTTAATGCTCCTTATAATCCAGTGCAACTTATGTATGAAAATAGACGAGAGAATTCAACATTATTCATATTGCGCCTTATAATCTGATAAATACGGTATCTTCATGAAGACAGAGTTGTTTTACGGTGTTGTTTCTCTGTTCAGTGTCTGACCGGGGGCAGAAATGGAGGCGTTCACTGCACAGACGTGACCAACGCCAGCCGCACGATGCTCTTCAACATCCACTCTCTGAGCTGGGACCCCGAGCTCTGCAGGTCAGAACTCCACACGCTTTTATACAAGAAGATCTGCTCACGTCAACATGACTCAAGTTCACTGATCTGGATTTGAGTTGGCTTTTTTTTTATAAGTTAAGATTTATTTGAATCAAAATCAAATAGTTTTTTTTTATCAATGATCAGCTTGAGTCTTGTAATGTATGTAACGATGCCCAAATCTCTCTGTACGATATTTTCACACTATGCATCTCACGGTACGATACAAAACTGAATAATACAAAATTTAATAATACTTTTTTCTTTTAAACTGCCCTGACAAGCAGATGTAAAAGTGCAGTAACAGTTATTTCTTCGTGGCAAAAGGAGAAATACAATTTGTCAACTGGACAAAAGTTTATTTTGGTTGAAGACGTTTTTCTGAGCTCGTCCAAGCTGCTTCTTCAGTTCTGGTCAGACGCTGGTGGACACTTCCTTATATCTGTGTGAAGGGAGGAGCTAACTACACTGAAACTACTCTGAAACTAACACATCTACTTGTTTACAGTTTCTGTTTGTTAGTTAAGCCTATTGAACTGCACTGACTTTGGGGTCTTATTAGCAGAATCATTCAGAGGCGTAATGGAGCTTTCACACTTCTGGACCTGACCTGACTACACCTGTGGTTCTCTTTGCTTGTTTAGATTTATTTCTGAGGATGGAGTTTTACGCTTCTGTTCAAAGATGGATTATCTTTCCTAACAAAAATAGTCTCTTTAAATTCCCTCTTAAACCAGTTCTTTTCTCTGAGATCTTTACCTCACTGTCCTCAAAAGAGCGGCCCGTGGTTTTTAGGTGGAGATGCACAGAAGACTGGGGTCCTGTGTTGCTCTCTCGTCTGTGTTGGTAGTAGGGATGGGCATGATTAATCGATTAATCAATAATTGATCATTAAGAATTTCATCGATTACGTTCATTTTAATCGACAAACCAACTGTAGGTTGCTGTGTATCGTGATCAAACAGGTGTGTACATGTGTCTCTGCATCAGAAGGAGCGAGACACAAACAGTGGGTCAGTCTGTAACGAACCGAAGCACAAATGTGGATTTAATGATGATTTGTTCAAGAAATTCCACACTTTCCGTTGCGTTGGGACAAGTGTGAGTCCATGTGCACAGTGGATAAAGCAGCACATATGTTTCTGTGTCCAGTGGGAAAAAGTTTTTCCAGGTGAGAGTCGCTCAATGTGGATGACGAGGCCCCGCCCCCCTCCCCCCGTACGCTGTCCTGGTTTTGACAAACACAAATCTGGTCACACTGACCTGTATTCACCTGAGTCATGTCTTTTAATCCAACACAAGTTGAACCACATCAGCGACACAAGAGCTGGAGTTTTATCTTCACTTAGTTTATGTAAATTAGTGATGTGGTTTTAAGTTTTGTTTCTGTGAGATTTGAACAAAACTGAATTAAACACATTATAATGTCAAACAGCTGATGTGGCTCTAGAGTCGTTATGTTTATATGTCGTAAAGTTGAATTTATTTATGCAGATTAGTGCAGATAGTAATAATAATGATGATCATTTTAATATAAAAACGTTAATGATTAATCGATAATCGATCGTTAATTCTTCCGACGATCGATTAAGAAAATTTCATCAAATGCCCGTCCTTAGTTGGTACAACACTGAAGAAGCAGCTTGGATGAGATTTTTTTCCCATATTGCTCATCTCTAAATTATATAAGTGAGCTACACTGCAAAAAACAACATCTAGTCAAGTTAACATGACTTGAATAAAGAAAGTTTTGTCATGATTTGAGTAAATTTCACTTGATGAGTAAAATTATCCACCAGTGGAACAAGACTTTTTTTTTTTTACTTTAAATATGAAAATACATCTTGCGACACTTAAAATAAGAAAAACAACAACTTTTGCACTTAAAATAAGAAACAAAATTGAGTGTTGCTTTGAATTAAGAAAAACACACTTATTCCACTGGTGGATAACTTTACTTGTCAAGTTGAATTGACTCAAATAAAGTCAAATATTCTTCCTTTAAGTCATTTTAACTGATCTAGTTGTTGTTTTTCCAGTGTAAAAACAATGACACAGTGTGGAGCCTGTATCTGTTTTCGTATATTTATTTAGAGAAGCGTTTTACAAGGCTCCGCTCCGTCTGTCCTTAAACCTTTATCCCGGGTTTGTGTTTTATCTCGTCTTCTGGTGTTTGCAGGTACTTTGACGTTCCCATGGAGATCCTGCCCAGGGTCCGGAGCTCCTCTGAGATCTACGGCCACATGGTGAGACCTGCTGCTGCGGACGATTCAGCCTCGGGACGATACGACGGGATTATTAATGTTTTACGAGCGAGTGGGCGCCTGGACTTATGTGACCGCTGGTTTTATGCGCCGTGATAAAACGTTTATTTAAGTCCTATCTCCGCCTGATAAACGAGAACATCAACTCGGGGCATCCGAACATCTCAGTCTGATTAGAATCTCGGTTCATCTTGGTTCAAAGTCTCAACTATAAGGCCGGGTATCGTTCAGAAGCTGCCGATACGATACATACCTCGATACGATACATTAAAGGTTGTATAGAGGATTTTTTAAAGAAATACAGCAACAGTCCTTTTTCAAATGTTGTGCATGCGTGACACCACCTTCCTCTTCCACAGCTCCACAAGTAGAAACATCTCCTCCCGCCTCCTGACTCTAGAAATCACTCTTGTTTACAGCCAGCGCGTTCAGAATTACTGCTGAAGTGACCTGTCTAGAAATAATTTAACGACCGGCACGTCAGTTTTTAGACTCTTTGCTTCATTCGCGCCATCGCTGGAAGAGATCTCCAAGAATCACGTGTTTGGCTTTTCTCCTTTTCTTCTTCTCTTCTTCTTTCAGTGACATCAAAAACGGACTTTCGTTTGTGGCGAACTGGTCGTGGATTTCGTCCATCATCTCAACAAACTTTGTGCGAACTGCGAGGAAACTACAATTTAAAAAAGCCTCTAAGAACCGCTGCATAAACCAAATAATCCCTGCGCATCAGTTACACTAGAAAGGCAGGGAGTTTGACAACCTAACAGCCAATAGAAAATGAGGTAGCCTTGTTATCTATTGGCTGATGTTTCTCTGCCCTCACTATGTCCACAGATGACAGATTTTCATTCTATTTTTATTTAATCAGCATAATTACAAGGCTGCTGCATTTCTGTAAGGGTATTTTAAACTTTCATTGACAATTTGAAACAAAACAAAAAATCCTCCATACAACCTTTAAGGCTTACTTTTAATTGAATTTTTATCGCGATTTTGATTTGAGTGTCAAAAGATCTCCAAACTCATATAATCGAGTTGAAATGATAAAGATTAACCAAGTTTAATTTGGGATTTTTAAAAATTTAAATAAGTATATTTATTTTATTTTTTTAAATATAGAGACTGTAGAAGAGCTGGATATATGGGTCAATGACATGATGCCTAAATGTTCTGTCCAGTTGCAAAATCTTGAGTTAAAAAAGGTTAAAATTTCATAATAATTCACCACATATCTGTAAGTACCTCTGACCTCCATGGAACCAAATCATTTTTTTTGGAAATCATTAGCTATCATGCATGTTTTTTGTAACCAGACTGGCGCCACCTAGTGCCTCCGCTCAATTTCATTTCTCTCCAGCAACTAGGTCAGGAATCAAAATACAATAATACAATAATAATAATACAAAAACCCTGGAAGTTGTAGACCGCGCTCCAGCAAAGAGGTGTGTGGAACAGCACAACAGTAAACGAAGCTGTTGAGGTGGATGTAGACGAAGACAGACATTCTGTGTTGGCGACGATTCCCGAGATCGAGGATTTAAAGCCGGAACAAAGAGAATGTTTGGTGAATTTTATCAAGGGGAAAGACGTTATTGTTCTTCTTCCTACGGGATTTGGGAAAAACTTCATATATCAGTTAGACCTGTTAGCGCCGCATTACAAACATCACGACCAAACAACAGCGATTGGTTAAATAAAAAAAGTGCCCGCCTACCGTTGAGCGAACGAATCCTAATGCTGCGAGGTCACACTGTTTCTACAAATTGAAACCCTTCATATTACTCAGAACGTAGATTAATATCCCAACCATGCTTTAGAAAATAAAACAATTTTAACGTGATTCTTGGTCACACCACATGACATTTTTTAAGGTCGTGGCCAATTCATGTACATAAAAAATAAAAAAAAATAAAAATGCTTAATATTAATACCTCACATTGTAAATATTTGTTAAAATTTTATTTTTATTTTAAAATTTGGCTGTTAAAAATCCTTATACATTATTGACCCATATAGTTCATGTTCAAACTATATTTTATTCATTTTATGTTTTATACATCGCACAACTGCTCTAAGGTTCAGATTTGTTGCCTATATTTATTTTAAATTTGAAAGTTTTGCGTAATTATCAATAACAAAGTGTTTTATTTTGAGAGAGAAATGCTGAATAAATGCATCGTGTAACTAAAAAAATAATCGTTTGAATAATCGTGATTTCAATATTGACCAAAATAATTGTGCTAATGATTTTTTCATAATAGAGCAGCTCTACCCATACATATTCAATACAGCGAGCTTTCGATTTGATACGGTATATTTCAAATCGATTTAATACGGTTCAATAAAAATAATGGCTAAATCATTGCTGTGATACTAAAAGTCTTTGTGAAAACATTTTTTGGGCAAAATTCATAAGAAACACAAACATTTTAATCATCAAAACAGTGAAAATGTCAAATGTGTCGCATAAACGAGTTTCAATTAATTTAGTAAAATACACGACCGGTCAAAAGTTTTAGAACACCCTAATTTTTCCAGTTATTTATTGCAATTCAAGTCGTGCAAGTTCAGTGAAGAGCTTGAAATGGTACAAAGGTAAAAACTGAACAGACAGAGGTAAAAAAAAAAAAAAAAGATAAAAGAACAAAACACAAGTCTCAGGAAAAAAGAACAAAATGGTAAAACTTGAAAACCTGCAGTGTCCAGACTTAAACCCATCGAGCTGAAGACTGAAGAGTGAAGCAACCAAGAAGTGCCGCACATTTATGGAAACTTCTGCGACAGACTTGGGAAGAACTTTCTCAACAATATTTGATTTGTGTTGAAAAAAGAACGAGCCGCGAGTGTGTTCAGCTGTTCTGTCTGACAAAGGTCGACACACACGTCAGTCAAAAGTTTAGAAAATGTTTTGGTCGACAGGAAGGAGTAAAAAAACTGGAAAAAGTGTGTTGTTCTAAAACTTCTGGACCGGTAGTGTATACCAAAACCAACCAACGATATCCATACTGTATCATCACATTAAACTATACGATATATCGATATTTAGATGTTTTTGCACACAACTACTGAACTACAACTGAGCTGAAAGGTAAAGAGAAAAGGTCAAGCATTTCACTGCGTCATAAAAAGTTTAAAAATAACAGTACATGTGCTTTACGAAGGTTAAAATTTGACGTCTCAACAGAACGTAGCCCTGACTGGAAAATGTAAAAATGGGCCATAATATTATACAGTGTTGGGGAGTAACTGATTACATAACTCCGGTACATGTAATCTGAGTACAAATTATGAGTTACAGTTACTGTTTCAGTGAGTGGTAATTGGATTACAGTTATTTTATTGAAATAAACTGATTACATAGTGGTATGTTCCTGTTTTCACATTTGGGGCTATATCCTTTTTTTTTTTTTTTTCTCAGTAATTCCACTCATTGCCGGACACTAAACCAGGTCTAAACCAGGTCTAAAACCCGGTCTAAACTAGGTTTAAACTAGGACTAAACCAGGACTAAAACCAGGTAAAACCAGGTCTAAACCAGGTCTAAAACCAGGTCTAAAACCAGGTCTAAACCAGGTCTAAACCAGATCTAAACCAGGTCTAAACCAGTCTAAACCAGGTCCAAACCAGGTCCAAAACCAGGTCTAAAACAGGATTCTAAACAGGTCTAAAAACCAGGTCTAAAACCAGGTCTAAACCAGGTCTAAAACCAGGTCTAAAACCAGGTCTAAAACCAGGTCTAAACCCAGGTCTAAAACCAGGTCCAAACCAGGTCCAAACCAGGTCTAAACCAGTTGTAAATCATGTCTAAAACAGGATTTAACAGGAGTAAATCCTGCTGCGCAGACTGTGTTTCTTCTTCTATCAATAATATTTTTAATTTGGTTCAGTAAAGACTCGGCCTTTTTATTTTCTTTTATCAGACAAAACTTCTTATGTGAAGATTTTCTCGTCTTTGCTTCTCTACAGCAAATCAAGTAATCCAAAGTATTCAGATTACATTACTCACCTTAAGTAACTTAATGGATTCCGTTACAAACTACATTTTGGGGTGTGTAATCTGTAATCTGCAGGGGATTACATTTTAAAAGTCACCGTCCCAACACTGATATTATATAATATTAAAGTCTTTTATCTCATGGAGGAACGTGAAGGTGTTTGGACCAGCAAGATGGTCTTTGTCGGGACATTTTCATGACCCAGTGAAGCTCTGTACCTTTTCTCTTCCTCTGACTTCTTGAGGTTTGGTTGCAGTTTATCGTTGAGCTGGAAGGAAGTTCACCTTTTGACCTGGTTTATGGTTAATCTCTCTGTAATTACTGGGCCGATTCAACTTTGTACAGTAAAATGAATTCTCAGGAAACACTTAAGAATCCATTTTGTGTAAAGTGTGATGTTCCTGTCAGTGGTAGGAATGTAAAAATAACTAGAAAAGCAGTCAGAGAGCGCAGACCTCCGCCAAGGACTACAGTCCCCCTCATATTAATTGTGTTTTCCATAAATATTTGTCTCATATCTTTCAATTTGGAATATGAAAGAGGATCCCATTGTCCATCCCTGAGTCAAATTTCATGGGGTTTGGTCAATAATTAACCCAGATATTGAGAAACAAAATTTTTGGCCCCATTTACCACAATGTTAACTAAAATTTCAAAGTGATCCAGAATCCAGGATTTCTTCCGGATCACCCCCAAAATGAAATCACTTCTTCCTTTTCACATTTCCAACAAATCCTGAAAATTTCATCAAAATCGGTCCATAACTTTTTGAGCTACGTTGCTAACAGACAAACAAACAGACAAACAGAACAAACAGACAAACAGACAAACAAACAGACACAACAAAACAGACAACAAACAGACAAACAAACAAACAGACAAACAAACAGACAAACGCCGGCAACAACATAACCTCCTTCGCGGAGGTAATAAAATATCGAGATTAGGGGTGTGCAAAAATATAAAAAAACGATATATCGTGTCGTTTAATGAGATCTTGTTCCATCTCTAAATGAAACTCTTCCTTTTTTGTTTGTGTTTCCAGAGCGCTGGTCCTCTGGCTGGAGTGCCCATCTCAGGGGTGAGTCTTTTATTATGACGTTATTGGTTTGTCTGGAATGTTTCACAGTGTGGCTTTAAACCATTTTGTCTTAGTGGAGACCAAACCAGGCCAAGTTACAGGTCAGATCTGTGGAGGCGACCCCTCTCACAGTCAAAAATATGTTTTTATAGGGATTTTTCAGCTCTAAAGCCACTTGTTATTTAATAAATGTAAGGCAGAGCTGGATCAGGATATTTTTCTAACTCATTTTGATAGATCTTGATTTCTGATTGTATTATTTTATGATGAAATAAAATGTAAACACAATAAAACAATACAAAATTTACCCTTATTCACATTCTTCTCAAAGACTCAGACCCATATAACACACAAACTAAAGTAATCCTAATACTCGCTCCATGATACGATTCAATATCCCTTAAAACCAGTGTTAAAAGTTTATTAAATGAGAGTTTTTTATAATGTAGCGTAAGAAAACACATTGGAATTTCACGTTTCCAGTGCACTAAACATCAGAATGTCATTGTCTTTTGAATAAATCTCGTTTTCAGGTCACAAAATTCAGCTTTAGTTCAATAGTTCAAGAGCAATCTGTAATTTATAACGATTTTACACCAGTTAGTCACATATCCTGAGTGTTATTATTATTATTATTATTATTTTAAGTAGTGTCTATAAGTGATGTGTATTGAACTGGAGTGTGTTCCAGTGTTTGGGGGATCAGTCTGCGGCGCTGGTGGGTCAGATGTGCTTCAGCGAGGGACAAGCCAAAAACACGTGAGCGAAGACCGTACGGTGTTTAAGATCATCTGTGAAAGACACTGTTATTCACCTGATTTGAACTGTCACGTGCAGGTACGGGACCGGGTGTTTTCTGCTCAGGAACACTGGAACTAAGGTGAGTGGGAAACGTTGATGTAGAAGCATAAAGTTTAAGACTGTTTAAGAGTTAAAACACTGTATTTGCTGCTGGTGTTTTGTGGTGCAGCCGCTGAAGTCCGAGCACGGCCTCATCACCACCGTGGCCTACAAACTGGGCAAGAACCAGCCTGCCCACTACGCTCTGGAGGTGAGTCTGCGGTCAAACAGAGCAACTTTCACACAAATGTACTGTGTGGGGAAGCTGGCCCAAGTGGTCAAAATGAGAGTCCAGTGCAAAGTTGTCCTTCACCAAACCAAATTCTTTATTGGATCCTTCCAAGTCGTGGGCAAAATTATATACATATTTACAAAAAAAAGAACTGTGCTTAACTAAACAAAAGCAACAGAAAATAACACAACAAAAGAAAATACCCACAGGCACCTGGCTGCACTGATGGTGACCACCTCCCTACTGATTAAACTGCCTCTACTTATACACCCCCCAGAGAGGAAGTCCCTCCCCCTGGGTTCACACCAACTTACGGGGAAAACTGTAGCAATTTCCTTTCCTTACTGGTGCTGCCTTAAATTATTTTCTGAAGCCTAATCCCCCTTTTAAACTGAACAGTGCTCCAACTTAACTAGATACACTGAAACCAAAATTCTAATAACCCATTTGATAAAACAAAGAACCATTTCCGAGGCTTCCCTCCACATGGTCTGGGCCAACACCTCCCCCTGAGCCTATAAATATGGCTGCCAAAGGACACGCCCCCTCTTTTGTTCCCAGACCATGTGGAGTCACAGGTAAAGGTGGTAAGTTTAAACAAAAATGAAGGGATATAACCAAATAAAATGAATTTAAAGTAACTGTGTGAATGTGATCAATTAAACAAAGACTAAATAAAACAAACCCGGGATAGTTATTATTTAGCTGTTTAGTTGATATAGATGTAACTGAACTAAGGTGAAAAATGGGGACAAAGGCCGTCTTTGTCACATACTGTGAGTTTAAGAGAGAGTGGCGTTCTTAAAAATCAAGGTACATAAGACATATAAAAAGGTATCTAAAAGGTATATAAACCTCAACATAGTCCCCAGTACCCAGGCGAGTTCATCAGCTGGTCCCTGTGTCTGTCCCTCAGGGCTCTGTGGCCATCGCAGGAGCTGTGGTTCGTTGGCTCAGGGACAACATGGGCATCGTGCAGTCGTCCGATGAGATTGGTAAGATCTTCAGCTCCAGGAGATATCAAGGTTTCTATAGGCGAGTTTCAGCTGACGTCATTGTTATTAAAAGCCCGCGTTGCTGCTGGGAAATATTTTGGTCGGAGGCAAGAAACACGATAGCGTCAAACACAGTGCGTAACCTCGCGTATTTATCCCCGATAATGGTAAATTCCTGCTGCATTATCGGATGCACAAATAGAAGCACGGAAGAAGGAAAATGTCTTTTTCGTATTCTGAGTGAAAAGAACCGCTAACGGTGAATTAAACGACTTTCAAACATCCGCAGAGCAAACGTAGAAGATCCTAACAAACTGTGGACTCCAACAAGTTCAACAACACATCGAGACTCTTGGAGGTTTTGCATCTTTTCTGCTGTGAATGGCCCAGGAGTTTCCACCAAGTCATTGTGGATATCACCAACGTGAATATTTGTCCAGGTAGTTGGAGATTCTGACCAGAAATTTGGTTTGGTTTCACCTTTTGTCGGGGTTGAAAAGGGTGATTTGTCGTCCGTCGATGTTTATGACCAATTTCTGGTCAAATGGTCTTGGGTCCTCTGCCGTTAGAGTGGATAAATAACCGGGATCAATACCCTTTACGTGCTTTCTCGCTCCGTCCGTCATGTTGAATTAGTGTTTCTTGCCGCCGACCAAAATAATTCCCAGCATGCAACGCGCGCTTTTGTCAACAATGAAACTGGCCTATATTGAACCCTCGCTGTGGCGTGTGCTGTACTCACTGTGTTCTGTTTGTGGTCTGGTTTCAGAGAAGCTGGCGGCCGCTGCAGGAACCTCCTACGGCTGTTACTTTGTGCCGGCGTTTTCAGGACTCTACGCCCCCTACTGGGAGCCCAGCGCACGAGGGTGAGACGCCCGAGGACTTTTATTTACGTTTAAAAGCAATGAAGACACTTCATGTAGTTCTGTGTCAGTGGCAGAGTTGGGCGGTATAAAAAATGTTATAGCGTTAAACCTTCTCAGGATTTTACAGGGGTTTACAGTCCCTGATAAAAGTCTTGTCTCGTATCCATTTTGTAGAAACAAAAGCTTATAACCTGACTTTAAATTAATCGATTGGATTTAAAAATGTCTCATATGAAGCTAAAACCCTCCCAAATTATGTTCAATAAACTAAAATAAATTTGCTTCACTGAAGAAAGATTGATCATTTAATGATCACAGAAAGGTCAGATTTTGGCAAGACAAAAGTTTTGTCGCCTACAGAAAATTGAACAAATAATTTACTTCAAATACAAAAATATGTTGCATAACGTCAGTGAATGAAGTAGTGGTGCTGTGAGATCCATGTTTAATATCTTGTATGACTCCATGAGCTTGAAGGACGCATCCATGTGGTTCCACAGTGATTCATACAATTTGTTGATGAAGTCATCAGGAATAGCAAAGAAAGCGTCTTACAGCCTCCCAGAGTTCATCAAGAGTCTTTGGTTTTGCCTTCCATGTTTCCTCTTTCATTCTACCCCAGACCTGCTCAATGATGTTCATGTCTGGTGACTGGGCTGGTCAGTCCTGGAGCACCTTGATCTTCTTCGCCTTGAGAAACTTTGATGTAGAGATAGAAGTATGTGATGGAGCACCATCCTGCTGCAAAATCTGACCCTTTTATGGTTGGAAATGTAAGAGGAGCTAATACTTCTTGATATTTTAGGATATTGATATTGTCTTCCACCCTGCAAATGTCTCGCACACCCCCAGACTGGATGGAACCACAGACCAGGCTTTTTCTGCCACCAAACTTAACTGTTTTCTGGGTGAATCTTGGATCCATGTGGCTCCAGTTGGTCTCCTGCAATATTTGCGGCGGCTGTGATGTAATTCAACCGAGGATTCATCTGAGAAATCCACCTTCTGCCACTTTTCCAGTGTCCATCCTTTTATCAGGCTGTGGGCCTTGGCAAATGCCACACGGTTTTTTTAATTGCCTTTTGTTTAGTGCTGGTTTCTGTGCACTGATTCGACCATGGAGGCCATTTCCAGACAGAATTCTACAAACTGTTGTGGTTGACACAGGGACTTGAGGTGACCAGGCCTGGTGGAGTCTGCTGCAGTGGAAAAGGGGCTGGACTTGGATTTTTGAATCAACAAACGGTCCTCCCGAGCAGTTGTCTTGCGGCGTCTGCTGGACCTGGGCTTGTCAAAAACATCTCCAGTCATTTCAGATCTTTTTCTTATTCTTTGTACTTGACGCTGAGACACATTGAAGGTGTCACCACCTCAGCAGTGGATCTGGTCTTCAGCCTCTTGATAATTAAGGCTTTGGTCTCAGGGTGGATCTTAGGCATGTTGTCAGAGGTCAAGTTGCAGTTGATGTGAAGGTCTGGTGTGCTGAGGTTCTTTTTATACACACCCACTAATTGATTGATCAGTAACTGATCACAGGTGAAGCTGTAATCTAGGATTGGGTGCATCATATGACAAGGCCACTTGTCATATGACAAGGCGACTTTTGTCTTGCCAAAATCTGACCTTTCTGTGTTCATTAAATGATCAATCTTTCTTCAGTGAAGCAAATTTATTTTAGTATATTGAGCATAAATTGGGAGGGTTTTAGCTTCATATGAGGCATTTCTAAAACCAATCGATTAATTTAAAGTCAGGTTATAAGCTTTTGTTTCTACAAAATGGATAAGCAACAAGACTTTTGTCAGGGACTGTACAGTATTACCGTATCACCAAAATGTTTTAGTATGACTTTGGTAAACTACAAAGCCACACCGCTGTACCGTCTGTGTGTACGACCTGCAGACTTATCATTTCTGAAAAGTTTCACATGAACCATCTCCAACACGACACAAACACAGAACAGACTCACCATCAGCAGCACATCCTCTGTCACAGAGAGAACACTCATATTCCACTGAGTCGTGTCCTTTAGTCCGACAGAAGCTGAACCGCATCAGCGCACAAGGAAAGAGCTGTTTTTTTTTTTTTTATCAGAGCTTACAGTTTATGCAAATGAGTCATGTGGTTTTAAGTTTCTGTAAAATATAAATAAATGTGGCCTGAAGCCAAAATGCTGCCAAATTGCAAAAGTATTAGTTTTTTTTTTTGGGCCGGACTTGTCATCTTGTCTCGTTTGTCCCTTTTATGAACGGAACAAAACTAATCGAACGTCGTCTCTCCACACAGTTAAAGAAACATTATAAACACTGTTAGTTTTAATTCATGATAACATTGAACTGAAAACACAAGCACACATTGATTTGTGCTGAGCAAACCACATTAGGTATCAATAAATTATTATTAATATTAAATCAGGTCGTTATGCGCCGCAGATTTTTTTTATGACGGTAATGAAACTGATACTGCTGCTACTTTTTGATACCACGAGATACTGTAGTACTGTAATACTGCCCAACCCTACTCTGTGGTGGCTTGGTAAACAGGTTCACTGTATATATATGTGTGTATGTGTATGTATACTATGTATGTCTTTGTATATGTATATGTATATGTATATGGTACATGTACAGTATATGTATATGTACAGTATATGTATATGTATATGTACAGTATATGTATATGTACAGTATATGTATATGTATAGTATATGTATATGTATATGTATATGTATTGTATATGTATATGTATGTTTGCGTGTTGTGTGTTTTCAGGATCATCTGTGGACTCACACAGTTCACAAACAGAAAACACTTGGCCTTTGCTGCTCTGGAGGCCGTGTGCTTCCAGACCAGAGAGGTGAGTCCTGAGGACCGGACACACACTGAGCATGTGCAGAATACAGACATAGTTCTGTGTTTAACCCTGGACTCTGTCTCAGATCGTGGACGCCATGAACCTGGACACTGGGCTGGAGCTGTCTCAGCTGCAGGTGGACGGAGGCATGACGTCCAACAGGCTCCTCATGCAACTGCAGGCGGACATCCTCTGCACCGCTGTGGGTGAGTGTGAACATCCTCTGCACCCAAACATTAGAGTCCCGTTCCTGTATCATTTATTAAAGGATCAGTCTTTCCTGTGATAAACCTGCACTGATCACTCAGTCTAAACACTCCGGTGAAAACTGAAGTGATCCGAATCAGATTTTTTTCACCCCTATGCTCCTGTATCTGATCTTTTAATGACAGTCTGAATGACACAGATCCGATTTTTTTCAAACGTGACCCAGGACACTTGGATATGTGCTTCTAAAACCGATATACCATATTTTCCGCACCATAGGTCGCACTCAAAAGCCTCCAACTCCATCAAAAAACGACGCCACACGCGCGCCACACAATCCAGAGCGCCCTGTACACAAATCCACTCGGGTGTCCCAGCACGACTTCAGTAAACTACAAAGCCGCACCACCTGCAGAACACACAAACACACACGGAGCAGACAGCGACCGCACGGCGAAACACACCCACAGACACACTCATCACTCCACGCCGACGAGGAACGGAACGGAGGAACGAACCGAAAAAGCAAGTACAATGTGCCGCTTCTAGACACGACTGAACAACTGAGTCACTGCGAACACCACGACAATCCAGCGACACACAGCACCCTCCCTACACGAAAGTTTTAAAATGTAAAAAATGACCGATAACGATGGACAAAACTGAAACGCCATTTACCAATATTAGAATTTCTGTCAAGATGAATGGAAATTTGTGCTTGAAGGAGGGGATATTTTTGGAGCTTTCTCTCATGTTTCAACGTTCCATCGTCTAAAAAAAACTGTCTGAAGAGGTTTTAGAGACATCCACGTGTGTTTGAGTAATCTAGCGATCTCTCTGTATGAGATTTCTCCATAAATACGACAATAAACACGAATATATTCCATAAATTGTACAAAAATGTGACAGAAAACCGCACTAGATTCGTTAGAGGGGACGCACGGTGATTGTGTTGTGATGGCTCTCTGAAGGGGGAGCGACTTGGCAGCAAAACCGAAACTTATAAAACACGTTAAGCTGTTGTTGCGGGTGATTATAGCGTTTACAAAACAATAAAAAGAGCTAAAAATTTGAGGAACGGAACGGAGGAACAAACCGAAAGAGCGAAGCCAACGTGCCGCTTCTAGACACGACTGAACAACTGAGTCACTGCGAACACGCCGACGATCCAGCGACAGACACTACTCCCTACACGCCACAACTGAACAAGTCACCGTGGTTTATTTGTGAAAAAAGTTCGAACATAGACCATTTAATAACAGTGCGCCTCATAATCCAGAGCGTCCAAAATATGGTACACAGAACAGACTCACCATCAGCAGAACACCCCTCTGTCACAGAAAGAACACTCATATTCCACTGAGTCGTGTCCTTTAGTCCGACAGAAGCTGAATATTGAGCAGTTTTTTTGAGCGCTTAGTTTATGCAAATGAGTCATGTGATTTTAAGTTTAGTTTCTGTAAACGTAAACAAATGTGCTCAAAGTTGTGTGGAGAG